AGTCGTTCTTTAAACAAGAATTGGAAATTTCAGTGCTTGTTAAATTTTCTCCAGAAGTTATTGGATGCTACATAGGAAGAAAATGGGGTCATACTGAACAGAATAGTTTGGATACACCTTAATAGATTTTGAAAGCTTGAGACCTCAAAATCAACCCAAATGGTGTACCAAACATCAAGAAAAAAATACAGTTTATGATTGAAGAAGCTTGTGTAGTAGCCAAAATTGAAGGTTATTTCATATATGTTAACTTATACGATTTTATTGGTACATGTACTTAAACATTGTTAATATCTTGATATTTAATATGTATCAGGTTTCACAAGCAGGAATACACAAAAATTCAGAGTAAAGTAAGTGTTTATGTTAGAAAAGATCAAAGTTCAAGGTCAACAGTGCTTTAGTTTTACCAAATATATATCACTATTATAAAGACTAATTTCCTGTATACAGGTATAGCCAAAAATTCAGAATATGATTTGGGGAAACTGTGATTTTTTCTTTTAAATCTTACCTTAATTTAGAACCATGATGTATACTTAAGCAAGTAGATTTTTTTCAAGCATACAAAATTTCAAGGTCATTTAATTTTGGAAGTGAATACAAAATATCAGGAAGCAGTCAAGCATTGTAATTTTTTGTTGTTGAATGTATTTAGTTATTGAGTAATATTCAAATATTAATCTGCAATGAAATTAAAAATTATAAATGTTTTAATTTGTTGATTTTTAAAACTTCGTGTTCATTCATTTTGAGTTTGTTGCCATGACAATATGTCTGTCAAGAAAATGGCTCTGATATTCCTTTTTGTTTAGTTTGACCCTTGACCTTTGACATCGTGACCTCAAAATCTAAAGGGGTCCTCTACTTTTCAAGAAACCAGTGTACTAAATTTGATGTCTGTCAAGCAATGGGTCCTCAAGATTTTGAATGATTAAAATCTACATACTGGTATATCGAGAATTATAACCCTTGACCTTTGACCTTGTGGACTCCAAATTAAAAGGGGCCATCTACTTATTAGTAGGTACCAGTGTACTATGTCTATTATCTTTCAAGCAAATGTTTGTTTTTTTTTAAGATAAGAGAGAACACACTTGGTCTACTGATTGACAAACAGGCACTAAGCAGTATGTGAATATCACCCTTTTCAAAGAAAATGTAATACAATAATACAATTCTGGTAAACCCCCCCCCAAATTAACCATATTTAACCCCCTAAGAAATAATTATTGATTGAAAACAAAAATGTACAATATACTGTTATTTTTCAACAGCAAAATTATATTTTTGAAAATATTTAAATCAGCAAAATAACTCCTTGCTGAAGTTCAGGGATGAGAAAATTTGAAAATTCACAAAAAAAATGTCCAACTTTAAGTAAAAAGTACAGCAAAATATTTGAGAGTCCAAAGACAGATTTTTAGCTCACCTCAACGAAGTTGGGGGAGCTTATGTGATACCCTCGGCGTCGGCGTCGGCGTCGGTGTCGGCGTCGGCGTCGGCGTCCCGGGTTAAGGTTAAGTTTTTTGGAGCAGTTTTCTTTTTAAGTACTTCTATGTCCTATATTGATTAGACATGCATGGAAGATGTTGCTAGTGAGTTTCATTGTACCAGTCAAAGTTTCAGATGCTGAAATTTCAGCAAAGGAATGACCAGGTTAATGTTTTTGGTGCAGGTTAACATTTTTGGTGCAGTTTTTGGTGTAGGTCTCATTTCCGAATAACTATAAGCCCTATGTTGACCAAACTTACATGGATGATACATCTTAGGATGCATACTACCAGCCTTGCTTCGGATGCTGAATCTGACCTACATTTTCCGGTTGAGTGAACAGGTTAAAGTTTTTGGTGAAGGTTTCATTTCGAAGATACTTTGAGCCCTATGATGACCAAACTTGCATGGATGATACATCTTAGGATGTATTCTACTAGACTTGCTTCCGATGCTGAATCTGACCTACATTTTCCGGTTGAGTGAACAGGTTAAAGTTTTTGGTGCAGGTTTCATTTCCAAGTTACTATGAGACATATAATGACCAAACTTACATGGATGATACATCTTAGGATGCATACTACCAGCCTTGCTTCGGATGCTGAATCTGACCTACATTTTCCAGTTGAGTGAACAGGTTAAAGTTTTTGGTGAAGGTTTCATTTCGAAGATACTTTGAGCCCTATAATGACCAAACTTGCATGGATGGTACATCTTAGGATGTATTCTACTAGACTTGCTTCGGATGCTGAATCTGACCTACATTTTCCGGTTGAGTGAACAGGTTAAAGTTTTTGGTGAAGGTTTCATTTCCAATTGCAAGTTACTATGAGACATATAATGACCAAACTTACATGGATGATACATCTTAGGATGCATACTACCAGCCTTGCTTCAGATGATGAATCTGACCTACATCGGGTTGAGTGAACAGGTTAAAAGGTTTTGGTGAAGGTTTCATTTCGAAGATACTTTGAGCCCTATAATGACCAAACTTGCATGGATGGTACATCTTAGGATGTATTCTACTAGACTTGCTTCGGATGCTGAATCTGATCTACATTTTCCGGTTGAGTGAACAGGTTAAAGTTTTTGGTGCAGGTTTCATTTCCAAGTTACTATGAGACATATAATGACCAAACTTACATGGATGATACATCTTAGGATGCATACTACCAGCCTTGCTTCGGATGCTGAATCTGACCTACATTTTCCAGTTGAGTGAACAGGTTAAAGTTTTTGGTGAAGGTTTCATTTTCAAGGTACAGTGTACTAAGAACCGTATAATGACTAAATTGCATGGATGGTACATCTTAGGATGCATACTACCAGACTTGCTTCGGATGCTGAATCTGACCTACATTTTCTGGACGAGTAAACAGGTTTAAGTTTATGGTGCAGGATTCATTTCCAAGTAACTTTGAGCCCTATAATGACCAAACTTGCATGGATGTTACATCTAAGGGTGCATTCTACTAGGCTGGCTTCAGATGCTGAATCTGACCTACATTTTCTGGATTAGTGGAAAGGTTAATTTTTTATACAGGTTTCATTTGCAAGTAACTTTAAGCCCTATGTTGACCAAACTTACATGGATGATACATCTTAGGATGCACACAAATGGACTTGCTTCAGATGCTGAATTCGACATACATTTTCAAGATAATAGACCTCGTAAAAGTTATGGGTGCAAGTCTATCACCAAGAAACTATAAGGCTTATATAAACCAGTTGCTTAAATGATGCATCAAGGGATGAAAACTCTCAATCTTGCTTCAGATGCTGGATTTTAATTACATTTTCATGATGAAGAACTAGTTTTTAGTTTTTATATAGGTCTATTCCAAAGTATCAAAATTGCATAAATTTTGCATTTTTGGATGTACACTTTTTGTTGGTTAATTGTGTGACTTAATATGCCTTACTTAAAGACAACACACGTTGAGGTGAGCTCTGTAATCTCTGATTACCTATGTTTTATATAATGTAGACAGACATGTTGTCTAATAATTGGTATGAGATTGAGTTGATTCTAAGCGTCACTTTCTGAGTTATAGGTTTTTGAAAAGTGAATATTTTCACCAGTTTTCAAAAATCTGGAAATATGCCAGATTTGTGACCTTTTTGCACTTAAACGAGGGCACAGTTTGTGATTATGAAAAATTTCCCGAAACAAGTGTATCTTGTTACTTTCAACCATATATGGATATTTAATATCATTATCAATTAAAATGCTGAATTTTTAAATATAAAATCCTATAAAATTCCTGTTTTCACCCTGTGTAAGGACCAAGAATTCTATTTTTAGTAACAGTGTCGATTTAACCCCTTAAGTGAGACCACACTGAAAAAAAATTTGTGGCAAAATATTTCATATTATAGAAGAAATTTACACACAAAACATGAAGTTGATCCGAGAACCTTGCTCCCATAACCTCTTGCATGGTTTTCTCGTAGACATGCTCTTAGTGAAAGGATTTTTTTTAAAACACGATTAAAAAATAAGATGTAATTAATAGATTATAGTAACTATTAATCTAGTTCTATGCAGCTTTAGCTGGAAAATCTCTGAGGATAAGTTATGCTTTTTGGCATAAATTACTGATGAAAAGATCTTTTCAGAGACCTTTTTTACAAACGTAAATCAAAACGATTTTTTGTCTAAGTAAAAGTAAAATATTTGCGAATTTTGACCTAAAATTTACAGATTGGAAAGATTTCATACCTTAAATTTGTAGGATATATTTCTGGTGTGTATAGAAAAATTGTCATGAATGAACCAGATATTCCGAATTTTCCAGCAAAGCTCAGGGCCGAGGCAAACCCCTTCAACGCTGGTGTACCTAATGTTTAAAAGATCGAGGAAAAAACAGGAATGATGGGAGAGATTAAAAAGATTTATTTTCTTGATTATCACATGGTGTTTATGATTTCTGTTTATACATTCAAGAAAATAACATTCATATTAATATAAATAGTGCTAATTTTAAGCATAAATGTGGGCCATCTTTCTGCATTTTTCACAATATATTTGCTATATTTATCAAATATGACAATAGAATTCATGACGATTAATTTAATAAATAATTTAGGATCAGTATAAAACCAGATACACAGTCCTTAGCATAGAATAACTCTGCAGTTAGGCTTCATGTAAAGAAGGAAACCAAAATTAACATACTTTGAATACTTCGAAATAGAGAAAATGATCATTTTTATAAAAAAAAAAACCTTTCACCACAAAATACAGTTCCTAACACAATTCTATTGGTATGGGATTAATCATGAAGTTTTCACTGAATATTGACATTGTAGAATCCAAATTTGTTAAAAAGAATTTTTTTTGGATATAGGTTAAGATAGAAATCTGCTCAAAAGCTCAGGAGCGAACTTCGTTAAGCAGAAATAAACACAGATTTTTCAAGTTAATTTTTTTCCACCTGGAAAATAAACTGAACTGTGACTAATACGAAAATGGTGCTCAAAATAAGTGATAATTATCTTTAAAAAAATTCTATAAACATAGCAGATCTAGGAGAGGGTAGCAATAACACGGACTCCTGTAGAATACAGAGGTTGTATCAGAGGCCTAAGAGGAGTCAGCATCCTTTGTTGACTGATCTCACCAGCCCTACGTATTGATCAAAAGGAAGGAGTATTCCTTCAATTTTGCCCTGTGTTTTGATCAAAAGAACAGAAAATTCCTTCAATTTAGACCTACTTGTTGATTAAAAGATCGGAACATTCCTTTAATTGAGTCCTACTTATTGATCAGAATATTCCCTTCAGTTTAGCCCTATGTATTGATCAAAAGAACAGATCATTCCTTCAATAAAGCTCTACGTGTTGATTAAAAGACCGGAACATTCCTTCAATTGAGTCCTACTTATTGATCAGAATATTCCTTCGATTACGCCCTGTGTTTTAATTAAAAGACCGGAACATTCCTTCAATTAAGTTTTATTCCCCATTTTAAAAAGTGAGTTATCTCCCCTCGAAATCGGAACTCTTCTACACCAGCATAACTTCCGCGGACTACGCATTACGATAAACCAACAAAATAGTGATCAACTCACACATTGCATTTAAAAATTTTAAAAGAAGGAACGGTTTGCGATTTTTTTTAGATAATTAGCGATTTTATAAAGGATCTGTTACTAGAAAGCGATACGAATTAGCCAGGTACGTAGCATCGTCTTTAAAATTGGGGGGGGGGGGGGGGGGGGGGGGGGGGGGGGGGGGGGGGGGGGGCCAGAGAAATATTTTTTTTACTTACCTGGAACAGTTGACAAGCAAAAAAAAAACATGCCCAAAGACGAAAAAAGCTACTTATTTCAGTACCATTTCCTTGGCATAAAATACTGCATTTCCCTTATATAACTTTACCGTAGTATAATCTAGGGGGGGGACTTTCAATAGTAAAAGTAATGTTGGGAAAAAAGTGGGGGTGGGGCTAGCCCCCCCCCCCTTGCTACATGCCTGATAGCTGGTAAACAACTTCATCAGAATTTGCAATTTTGTGTCACGTTATTGTAATTTTTTCTTAATATCTTATAAATTACGGGATACATTTTATTTACGTCTATAAAAGGATAATTTACAAAATAAATGTGTATGTTTGTAATAAGCATTGTGGTGAAATCGGGAAGATGAATTTCGCTGGATGTCAGTTCATTGTGTTACACACTTGAACTCTTAACTGACCATAAGAATGTTTCAAGTCAACTTTCATGCGAATTTGATTGACAGATGATGCACGAGGGTTTCGTGTTTACAGCATGCACAAAGAATGAATGTTTAAATGGGTTGAACAGTTGAATATGAACCAAAGTTGTGGAAATTAAAAATCATTAGAATTATTTATTGTGAATTCAATATAATTACGGTATACATGTATATATTTTTTCACAGTTGTACATGTATGTCAGTTATACACGGGGGTTCATCTCTCTATTTCTCTGTCTCTGTCTCTCTCTCTCTCTCTCTCTCTCTCTCTCTCTCTCTGATATTGTTTTTTACACACTTTGCAAAAAAGAATAACATATAAAAATAAATACTTACACTGAAAGGATTTTAAAAACATAAATAATACTTTACGAAAAAAATGTTTTCCGTATTAACGAGAAATACGCTCGGAAATTATCATTATATCAATTTCGTGTTTCTGCTGTCAATACTCTAATCTAAAACAAAATAAGTGTATTTTACTCGGGAATATACATAATTGCTTAGATCCTACTCTTAAACGTTGATTAAATGCAGCTCAGATTTTATACGACATACCTAACACTAATTGAGGTCGATGCTATTTTAATTAGTTTTTCTTCGATACATTAGCATATAAGATTAAATTATTCATTTAGAATTCCATTCAAGTTTTAATACTATAAAGTGAATCAATTATTTTAGAAATATAAATTTCTAGAAACACGGTTAATTCAAATGAAATAGGCCTTTAATTGTCACCAAATGTATTCTTGTAAGTAAACTATGTATGTTATGAGTTTATGACATACAAGATCGAGGAAAAACGCAGTTTCTTGATATCGGTCGCGGATGACGAACTACTCTTAGTGATGTATATGCAGCAATTTCAGAGGTAAAACTGTAGATGGACATGTCATCAGTCTCCCAAAAAATTCCTAGAGATGCAGAGAAGAAAATATGGCTGCAGCGGGACTATACAAAAAATTCTATATTTGTTCTGCACATTTTGTAAATAATGACGATCCGTCTGCAGAACATCCACCACCGAAATTGAAATTTTAGCTTTTGTTTTTAAATACGCCTAATCGAATATGTATCAGCATTTTATCAGTAATCTGTTTCGTTTTTTGATTTTTCTTTTTGGTAAGGGGGGGGGGGTGGCTCACACAGCGCCTTATTACCGGTATACTAGTATACAGATTAACACAAATCCAGAAAGAGACTATGAGTGAGCAATTTAAAGAAAAAGAATCAGTGAAGATTTCTTTTTATTCACAAACAACAATAACAGTTTGTCATATGACAGAGACATTAAACAATGAACATGTTTACATCCAGAACGTCCGCAGAAGTGCCTTTCCTTATAACGCATGCGTATTAAACACAGTAAAAGAGTTCCCTTCAGGGGAAATAACTCACCTTTTTAAAATGGGGAATTTGTTGATTAGAAGACCGGAACAGTCCTTCAATTAAGCCCTAATATTTTATCAAAAGGTTGGTACATTCTTTTAAGGTGGTATTTACCTGCAGTGAAGTTAAGGACAGCAGTCATGCTCAGACTAATCCCAGCGATGGCATGAAACATGACACAGGTCTTCTTCCTACCATATCTAAAAAACATTTGTTGCCTTATGTTGTATGCTAGGTTGTATGCCTATGTTAAGGAAGCTCTAAACACTACACACTAAAGAGCTCTCTAATTGTAGGACAGTTACATGCCATTAGTGTGATTTGTCCTTAAAAGTAAGATAGACAAAGGTTTTTATAGTTCATAACACAATTCACTGTGGATGAAAATATTTCAACCATTATATTAGACCAAAAACATGTACTTGAATTCATTATTTTCATTAATTTACCCAAAGTAAGTAAACAGCAGTGTTTTTGTTAACGAATAGTCCATTGTCTTTTGACATTTTTACTGCTTGTTAGAGACACGTACCCTATGTTCCAAATGATGTAAATAGTCTCAACAGCAAACCATGGTATGATATATTTTTCTCCAAGTCTAAAAAAACACTTTTTCTTAATGTTTAGAGCTTCCTTAAAATTTAAATTTGCACTCGTATTAGAACATTGCTTGTAATAAATTTAAATACCTGTTGATCGTAAACAAATACAGAAAAATGCCTGGTAGCTCAACCATTCCATTTAAAAAGAAATTAAGATACATGTTTCCACTCATAGTGCCGGAGATCAGAAATAGTCCATAATACGTGATACTGTTTACAAACCTTAATAGAAAGATACATTCAACTAGCCATAGAAATAATTTTCTTTCAATTCTGTGTAATATCAAGAAACAAAGTTCAGGAGCCCTTCATTACTTCTCTTGTTTATTTTAAATCTGATTTTGACGTCACAAAGGAACTTGAACGAAATGAAAATAAAAATATTATTACCATATTATCCAAACTATTACGGACGTCACCAGAATGTGTTTGTGTCTGAAAATATCCAAAATTGACAACTTCTCCTTTCTCCTTTTCCCTGTCTGTTCACAGTTTGTATCGGGTTCACTGACATCTACAAGCACCTGTAGTTCACTTCTCTGTAATTCAGAGTCGAACTCGTCTATTATAGTGGAAGGATCTATTTTGTTCCACTTGGCTGCTTGTTTAATCCATTGTTTTGCCTCCTCGTACTTACCATTTGCAACAAGCCATCGAAGAGACTTGGAGAATCCTAAGGAAAATTAAGTGAGATTTAGTAGTATCTCAACAATGTTTAAAACATTTCCGTTCTATTTTTTAAATTAAAGTCTTAGAAGTTTATTTAGAGAGAGATCAAGACAAGAAGACACACACACACATCCTCAAAGAGAGAGAGAGAGAGTAAAGGCAATCTTGACCAAGCTGTTCCATTCAAAAGAAGCATGCTACGGTGTGGCAAATGTGCTGGTGATTGATTATACTAAACGACACAACGACCCATAAACTACTGTGTGCCAACTTTGCAAGTTTCGGATTATACGGAGAGTTCCATAATATAATAGAAACATAATGTGTTGTGTAACGTAAATAAAATTATAAACTTCTTTTGAACGGCTGTTGAATACAACGAATGATAAGACAGTGTTATAAAGCTGATCATTCCGGTAGAAACCCAGCCAGTAAAGAGCAAGATGCTTAAAAAATACTGCTACATTTCAACATGCATAAGGCTATAACAACTGCATACCAGCTAGGCTATGGGAACCTAATAGTAATACTGTAAACATATTACATTTGGCTGTGTATTCTTTTTAGCGCCTTTGGCGGAAAGAAACGTCCGCTAATTCAAGTACAACGCTAAATGTCTTGCACATATACTCGTGTATATGATAATGAATAAATGCGCTAAATCAAATCTATATACGCTAACCTGTTCAAAAAAAATAATTCCGCCAAATATTGTACACGTCAAATATAATACATTTACAGTATACCAGCAGATACAGGGAAATAGCGGTACATACCAACGTGAAGCCAGGCTGTGGGAGCCTATTATACCGGCAGCCAGCATGGTGTACCTCCAGGATACATTACGGAGGAGGTAGGCTACTAGAGATATAGACGTAATGGAGAGAGACCACGCTACACTTCCGACAGAGACTGTAAAACCACGTGATTCAGCCGGGAAAATCTCCAAACCCAATGTTGACAATGACATCCCAGCTCCCTTAAACAGAAATAGATTTTTTTCACAGTTTTAAGGTCTCATCTAAACATCCTGGGAGTTTTACTTCTAATTCACAGGGAAGGAACATACTTATTTTTGCCAAATTTGGTCTGCGGTCGGGAATTGAATCAACAACTTCTAGCTAGAGGTCTGTCGACTGAATTATTAAGACAGTAACTTCTAGAGACGTACCTGTCCAAAAGCTCCCATCAATAATCTTAAGATGACAAAGGCACTGAACCATGGAACAAAAGCTGCCAAAACGTAACACAGAGCCATGGCGATAAAGTTTGTGTAGAAGATCAGCAGACGACCGTATTTATCCGCCAGGGCGGGAAAAAGTGCCGCTCCAATCATCTGACCAATCACTAACATGGTGGTGGACATGCTTCCTAGGCCCTCGGCTCCACAAACAAGATTCCACTGAAAATTGTATCAGTTTGATAATGTGATCCATCATCCACAAAAAAGCTGACTTACGTTTTTATACAATATACATGTACTGTGAAATCACATTTTTTCGAGGGAGGTTAATTTTTGTTGATTTCGAGGTGTAAAGAGACCCATGAATTCATGTCAACCACGAAATGAAACAAGCATAACTACTCAGCAATTCTCAATCCACGAATTTATATCCCCACGAACGAAGATTTTTATTCAAACCACGAAAATTTGACCCCAAGAAAAAATGTGATTTTAAAGTAGTTATTATGTTATTATTATGATGATTTTACAGTAGTTATCAGGTTATTATTTATGCACTGAATTGTGTACGATTTTTTCTGTTTCCCCGATCATGTCAACGAGCACAGGGTGAGTGTGACTCATCGACATAAGATGCTTATCCCTCCATGGCAACTGATCCTACTACTGATGTTCTTAAAGCTCCTCGGTTGTTCATTTCCCGAATTTGTTTATCCTTCGGTATTTAAAAATAGAATTGATTTGAAATAATTCTATGTAAAAAAATTAATATGTCTTCGGGCTCATTTTTTCGTAAATTAATTGAACATAATTGCTTTTATATTGAAAAATGTAGCATTCTTAAGAACAACGTCATAAAATATCGCGACCTCAGGAGTGACATCCTGAATATCGATCCGGTATACAGAGCAAAAAAGTTATACTGATTTTAAGAAAAAGGAAATTCGCGTATATCTGCTTTCAAATGACCAGTATCATAATAATTCAATGAAATAATTATCAGACATTTTTCTCTTTAAGCTTATTACATCTAATATTAGTGAAAATTCACGTAAAAGGCGTAAACCAACATACTTTCTTTATGTGTTTATTTCTTACCGTTTCTTTTCTTTTTGTTTTGTTTACTTCATGCGCAGATTCTTGCTGGAATTAGCAAATTAAAAGTGACCTTGTATTCCCCTCTGGAAAAGGCAGACCCGGCCACCATTCCTGTTGAAATCGCAGATCTGTGACCTATCTTTGTTTGAAAAGTCGTAGGTATGAAGATAATTCAGAAGTCAAGGACTACTACCCCCCCGAAATATGTTTTACTCTTTGTATATATATCCTTTTTCTTTAGAAAATTCAACCAGGCTATCAAATCACAATAACTTATGAATCAATTTCCGCCATAGATCCTTCCGAGTGTAAGTATTAAATGCATTCAGTGTATAGATGTATATTGGAATTTTTTAATTCAAGTTTACAAAGAGGCAGTGAATAACTAAAATCAATCCTAACTTGCTTTTATTTTATGCTCATTCGTATAAGGATAGAAAAAAGCGTACAAGGAATTTTTAGAGGAGTAAATGGGGCCATAATTTAAACATTAATTTTATTTGGCGCAATCAACAGACAGATTTTATTTTGTTCTTAGACTTTCAATGTATATACATGTATATAACATTAATTCTACTGAATGAACATGGATTGGAAAGCAATGCAGCGAATAGGATATGTACATGTAACTAATTATAACAAAAAAGCATACCGTTACTTACACGGGCAATTGGGGTATCGACCCCCTCCCCCCTTTCTTTTTGTGTTGGGTTTTCCTATTTTGGATTTTTTATACGCATTGCATGTTATTAATTTTAAATATATGTATTTCGTTTTCGACTGATATATAAAAAGAGACGGCTTGCAATTTGTTTTTATTCTCGACGTCTGTCTCACTTAATCTTTACTTGATCACTATCTAAAGCTTAGAGAATCATGGAATATGCAGACATCGATGAATTTGAAACACACTCTTCTTCCTTTTCAGATATCCATTTATATAATTCTTTATGTGCCTCCGATTGGTAAATATTTCGATTAAATCAACATGCACATATAGGGTAGAGTTAAAATTCAAAAATAGGAAAAATGTTAACTCACCCCCGGCGTTAGCAAGTAAAAAAATGGAAAGGAGGGTGGGGGTCATATCCCACGTGCCTGTGGTTATTTACATTAGATCGATGTCACTCAAAAAATGTATTTAATTTAGATTATGTTTCATTAGTATTACTCCGGTTGTGCCTTTACAGTTTTTAATTTATACTGTTACACTAAACTACCAATTTCAACAAAAGTTATAGCTAGATAATGTACTGAATTTTTCCCTTTCTCATCGTGACGTCATAATCAGATGTGCACAAGAAAGACGCCCAAATCATATAAATTGCGTACCCAGTTTTATGACGTCAGCAAACCCGCGACCTACGTAAATGTTAAGCACCGGTAAGTTTCGTACCTCAGAAGCAGTGGTCTCTTGGCCAAAAAAATCGTATCCATCTCTACATGGAATAGTCTCCTGTGTGAGAACACCAGACCTGTTTGTCTCAAAGATGACGTCACATTGACGTGAATGGATTGTGACGTTATATGACGTATTGATGTCAGCGTAGTAATTTGTCACGTGTTTATCTGAAAACTTACATTTGAAGTCTGGAATGTAACCTGGAAATGAAAAAAAGAGTATTTCATTGTTATATTACATATTTTTACAAGTGTTTTATTCTATTGAACTTACTTTCATTTCGTTAAAATTTAACCATGAAGAAAAGCAAAATCAATTAAATGTTTAAAAGTCTCTTAAAAGGTTTAAATGATTAGCAATGAAAATTGGATTGCTCTAAGAATATAAACTAATAATAGACTTAAGTCAAAATTTCACAAATCAATATATTGACTTTTGAAATAATCTTGATAAGAAATGAAAATTTTCATCATATCTTAAAATTGGAATATTAAATAAACTTGAAAATTTTCAAACAAATATGATAAATAAAACCCAAGATATTCAAAATCAAACTTATGATTCAGACTGTTCTCAGTTTATGGTTTTGGAGTCTGATATTAAAATGTATAGAATAAATAAATAGTATTCAAGATCAATAGTCCACGTGCACTAAACAGTACTAAAAAGAAGGAGCAGAGCAAACATGGACCTGCAAAACATCATGATCAGAGCTGAAATCAGGTTCCGTTGAGGAGTGAGCATCCCCTCCGACAAGTGGCAACCACCGTGTGCTCCTTTTCATGATCGGGAAATAACGGAAAATACCTTGACAACTCAATGTGTGTATAATGACATATCATATATTTAAAAAATAACAGTCAGTATTTGGCTAAATTGCATTTGCTGACAAGGTTATTGTACTAGCCATAGTATTTATGACGATATTATGACTTTAAACGGGTAAGCTGAAGCTTGATATTCTTGTTCCAGCAAATTATTTGTCAATGCCTTGCGTTTTTTAAATATCTCGTAGAGGATGTCCTTGCGCATTGAATCAATTAAGAGATATAAACTGTATATGCAAGTGATAAAGATATATTGCTGCATAAGTAAGGGAAAATGGCAATTGTTGAAAAGTTCATGTTATCACGTTTATCATAGTTGGTTGTTAGATATTCTCGTTTTACAGTATCTAAATTTTTAGATGAAGGCAACTGCAAGTGTTTTCTTCCTTTCACGTATAAGATTTTGCATTAATTTTGCTTTAATTTGAATAAAAAATAAGGTTTGGTAATAAGGGACACAATTGGTACTCATGGGAATTCCGTTTATACTGTTGGAAAATCTCGTCTCCAAAAACCATACTTTAGTAAATATTGCCAATCAGAAACTCAAGCATCTTTTTAATATCAATTTCATAGTAATTATGTGTACAATTAGAAAGTTTTAACAAATAATTTTGCAAATGACCAATGACAAGGTGATTCAATTTAATTGTCAATAAGCCTGGACTTAGACTTATCGTGGGGAATGGTTGTATATAAAGTTGACAAGTCGTAAGTTTTAATGTTGCTCACTTAGATTTTAAGTAATAATTTGAAATGATAGAGGAAATTGCTTATTTTACATTAGATTCAAATTTCTGTTGAAGTGATACAAAGGAGAATAGCTCATATTTTATCAAAATTTATTATTAGAGAAATACCAATTGCCTAGTAACTTTTCCGGATTAGAAGTATAATATCTGAGAAAATTTCTTTTTGAAATTCTTTTGTTTATACACCTTTTCAATTTTCCATATTCACAAATGTATAATTATAACAAATAGTAAAATTTGATAACCTAATGTTATTTGAATAAGGTCTATCAACTTATCTGTAATATGACAATTATGGTCACGTGACTTAACTTCTTCAAAATAAGGAAATTTTGCGGGTTAAGATTTATAGTGCAAGTATTTATTTTGGTCTGTTTAAGGTTTAATTAAATAATATAAATAAGGGTTCGTATTTTCATCAACAGAGGATGCTTACTCCGTTTTTATGCCTTGTTCACAGATTTGCATTTCTGGTTGATTGTTTTAATCGATTGCCGTTCGTTTCCTTAACTTTTTTGCATTGTGTAAATTCACCTTGAGAATATTTTGGATCAGTATTTTGAAATGTAGTGTGACTTATTTCAAAGTTTCAAAGAATAAAACGGATTCTTTTGACACACACACAGGCCCTGATTTATAGTCATTTTGATAGGGATAACAGAACGAACGTGAGGAACCCAGACCTATCCAGAAAGATCTGATTAAGGAGTCATTATGAAAGAAATGATTACCATGTAACCTGCATTTACGTTTTTGACTGAATTATGCCAAAAGAAATGTTCAATATGATTTGAAAAAAAGGCCAAAGGGCCTTGAATCACTCTTTTGAAAAATTATACAATTTATTCTAAGCCACAAGATGAATCAATTGACAAAGTTTGATGATTCTTAGCTAGTTAGGACTGAAGATATTTCAATATAGGTATAAAACACTATACGCAGGTCACAGTGACCTACTTTATGATAGAAAATTTCTAAGGGACAAGCTGCATTAATTGACAATTAATCTCCGAAATCCCAAGATGCATCAACCGGCAATTTTTATTGATTCTGAGCCAATAAGTACCTGAGATACTTAAATATAGCCATAAAATGTCGAAAGTAGGTCACAGTGACCTACATTTTGGTCGAAATTTTCTGCCGACCCATGATGCATCAACTGACAAAATTTAATGACCATAGGTTTAACAGTATTCAAAATATGCTTTTTTAACAATTTGAAAACAAATGTCTGCAAAGTTCAAAAAGTAGGTCACAGTGACCTAATTATTTTTATTTATTTACAAGATTGTTGATTCTAAACCTCTCAGTGCCTGAAATAATGGGATTAAATATTTAAGAAAACATTAGCCATAAAGAACCACGAACGATAGTATTGTTCTCCCGCCTACCTCTAAGTCAATTCTCAAAAGTTAACAAATTCGAATGATTTTCAGAATTTTTATAGATATTTATATGAATTTTAATAAAATGTTACTTATTTGGGATACCAAAGAGAGATAACTCTATAATTTTGGTAAAACTTGAGTTTTTCACTATAGAAATCAATGGAAAACGGAAAATATTTTTAAAACATCTTTCCCCCCCGTGAAACAAAAATTCCTTTTTACAGGTAATATGGACTGTCATTTTACAAATCTATGCCAAAGCTTTTTGTGTTTCACGGGGGGGAACATATGTTTATAGACAAAAAAAGAAAAAATGCTGATTTTCCACCAATTTTAAAGCTCTTTACAACTAAGTAATTGTATTTTATTAATTTATTTATGTTTTATGTATTTGCGTAAAACATAAGAAAAGATATGAGATACATTTTATCATATTTAAGACTATTTCAAAATATGGTGATTCTTGAAAGTTCGATTTCACTAGAAAATATCGTCTACCCCCCTTTTTTCAAGAGCTAAAATTAATGATAATTTACGATCTAGCGCTGGAATTAAAATGGTTAATCAATTACCATAGAACTGTTCTTTGTATCAAACAAAGATTTAATGGCCAAATTGCCATTAAAATTGAATTTAATGGGTGCAAAATGTAGGCGGGAATCACGAGTTAGAGTTCGTAGTTCTTAAAAAGTAGGTCACGGTGACCTACTTTTGTCCAAATATGCCTCAAAATTTATTTGAAAACAGAATTTCTCGGAATCAAAGAAGTAGGTCATCTCACCGTGACCCTCTTTTGAGTTAACATGAAGTGATGTCCTAAGATGCATCAACTTACAAGATTTGATGATCCTAGTCTTTATAGTAAGAAAAATATAAACATTTTTAATAAGTGTAAAGGTGGTCAACTTTGAGGTGACTTTGAGACCACACTCTTTGTCCTAGGGTAATTCCCCGAGCAAAGTTTATTTTTCAACATATTCTGATCCTTGTATGTAAGTTTGGTGAAAATCTGCCTGGTGGTTACAGAGAAGATTTTTTAGCAACTAATACTTTTGGTTTTATTTTTCATGATTATCTCCCCTTGTTTTGGGTTCCCAACCCTAGTTTTAGTACGAATGACAGCTGTTTGGCCAAGGATACCCTGTGACAAAGGTGACAATGATTGGCCAAGTGGTTTTTGAGTTATGACCCATATTCTAAAAAGTTTACGCACACCACACAAATGGGCATAGCATAAGCTCTTTGAGCCTTTGGATCAGAAGAGCTTAAATCTGATATGATCTTTTTTTCAAACCTCCACAACGTGATCACGAAAATTTATTATGACGTCATTCAAAATAATGTACTCACCAACAAATACGTAAATGACTACTGGATACGTCAGAATCGGATCTCAACAGACGACATTATATTATGACGTCACTTTAAATAATGTACTCACCAACAAATACGTAAATGACTACTGGATACGTCAATATTGGTAAACAAAAGAGATTATAAGCAAACTGTAGAACTTGGTATCTCCCGTAATTTCCTAACGACCGTAAAATATTGTCTACATCCATTTTTATAAACTTCTAGACTTAAGATGTGACCGAGATTAATAATATATTCAGCAGCATGTTCGAGGTAGGTATTTTGTTGTGTTTTGTCTGGTGGTTAGTATTAATTGATCACTTTTATTCAGTTTTCACCTAAATTCGAATGACTTCGCGGTTTATAAAGCGTAAACTGCCCCAACCCAGTTCATACCGTATAAAATGGGTAGCTGTTAAATTTATTGCTTATAATTTAATTTTCATTCATTTGATGTAAGGAAAAAAGATGATTGTTCTAACAAAATGACTTCAATTTGTAGTAAAATTTGAATGTAACGTCAGGCGGATTGATACGTTTTTGACGCAAGTCATTGTGACGTAGGCAACCCGTTTTTTACGATATAAAGTAATTTTTATATCCAATCAAATACAGCATTTCAATCATAATTAAATTGTTCAGTTTTCACATAAATTCGAACGACTGTGATTAGGGTTAGTCTTGCATAAATAACTGTGATTAGGGTTAGTCTTGCATTAATAACTGTGGTTAGGGTTAGTCTTGCATTAATAACTGTGGTTAGGGTTAGTCTCGCATTAATTAATTGGATTAGGGTTAGTCTCGCATTAATTACTGGGAATAGGGTTAGTCTTGCATTAACAACTGTGATTAGGGTTTGTGTCCCCGGTCGACAATAGAACATAAGCAAAGTGTTATCTGTCAACCGTCGATCTGTCCCCAGTCAACAGTAAATCAATGTGTGGAATGTAGAAATAATTAACTGAGTAATATTACTACAATATACAGCGATGTATGAATATGTTAATATTGTATGAGTTAAAGTACTACTTTATCCTTATATTGGAGTTGAGCCGCTTACGCAAGGGACGTTGAAAATCTGCCTAAAGAAAACCATAATTAGGTCATCAAATGAAATGTCAAATTTAACCAAAAATCCAAGGGCAAGGCAAACAAAAAAAATAATGCACAGTGTTTTAGATTGTCCTTGTGCATCTATACTTTCGCAAAATAGATGCACATTCAGTTAGTTTTCCGATGTACTAAAGTTATTAAGCTAAAACAGACAGTAGTATATGAAAAATAGGGTAGTTTTGTAATCTAAAACGCCGAATGTTAATAGAAATGAAAATATTTATAATCAATAGTCAATTGATAGCCTCCATCAATAATGAATTCGATAACTATAGCCCTCTGTCACTACTGTACATACTGAACACTTGACTGTGTACAAATAAGAAAACGTTTGAGTTTGTTTGGGGTTTTTTTTTAGGGGGGGGGGGCATCCGAGATTCTCTCATGGCTTTCATTCAAACCTTCAACTCCTAAGGGATATAAGCTGTACTTTTTAAGAACCAAGTGGAAAGCATAAATATTCTTGTATTTGTTAAAGGTACGACCATTTTATTTCTAAAGGGGGGGGGGTCTCGAAAATGTTAAAAATATATCCCAGATTGTATCGGAAATAAACAATCTGCCCCAGACCAGTGCTCCCCTCCTATAAATTAGAGGAATTTTTTTGCTTGTCAGACATTTTTCAGTGAAGAGAAAAAAAAAACATTCTGAAAACTTGCAAACCACCCCTTTCTTCAGAATAAAATGGTGGTCCCCTTTCCTGTTTGAATCAATTAGGGGAGTCCCCTTTTTAGTTGCTATGATTGAGAAACAAATTAGCACAATGTACATGCTGGAAATAAGATCTTGATGAACATTGACACCCACCACACAAAATATATGCAAGTTAAGATTTTTAAATCTTAATAGCCTTTTCAACACCTTTACAGTAGGTACATGTATATGAAAAAGTCAGTGTTATTTATCAAGAAAATTTATTTCATAAACAGCTTTTCAAATTCATACATGTAGGTAGACTGTGAAAAGAATACTGAGCAGGTGCAGATTACTTCCATTACTTCATGTTCTTGTGGATGAAATCAATTCTGAAAATATATGCATGAGAAAATCAGGATAAACATGTATACATACCATCATATTATTAAGAGTAAATTGGTGTTTAAACTTAAATTATATTCAGAAAAATGCATGAAAACATGGAACATTGAATGCATAATGAAATGTTTGCAATTCTACTGTTATATTTTACTATTTTGCCAGGAATATTGCATGGTTTATAGCTAATATGGTGCATGCCATTTTCCTTAAATGATGGATTAACTTGCTGCCTGAATGAATCCATTGGTCGAATTATTATGGAATAGCTGCAACACATTATATATGCTTTGAGATTACTAAATTAATAGAAAAAAATGACATTACATTTGACAAAACAAATCATGATATACTATATACTGTAGTGAATTTATGAAATTCATATTTAAGATAAATGGAATTAAAGTTGTGTTACAAAACTTTTCTAGGAAATTAAAACCTCTTACATTCACTAGAACAAGTTATTAGAATATGAAAAAAAAAATTCTTTCATCTTTACCAAAATGAAAAGTAAATATAATCTCACATTCATGCTTAAAAAATGTAAAATGCTTTAGAAGTATACATACCCTGTAGAGAAATGGATGCATTTTGTATTTATTCATTCTTAAAATCTGGAACTCTTAACAACTACAATAATAAAAGTATTTATATATCAAATAATTAAAAAAATCATTATGTATAAATTACAGAATTTAATTGACTTAACATGTAATCAAGCTAAAAAATAAATATTTTATTCCCCATTAATTTAGAAATTCTATAAATTTACAACTATAGATCTAAAGTGGAAGTTTTATGCTTTCAACATAATGATACAGATAATTTTTTAATATTATGTAGCATGTTTGTATGCCAAAAAGACAACAACATTTCATGTTTACTAAATCATCGACAACTCACTGATGACTGAAACAATGAAATTTCAAATTTAATTTAGTTTGAATTTGTATTTCTGTTGATCCCCCTTACTACACATTTTGTCTCAAAGAAAATAAGCGAATTGACAAGTACTCTGTACCATATATTTAGAACAATTACATTTTTTAAATTCTAATAAAAAATTGTGCAACTTCGTATGAGGGGGGGGGGGGGGGGTTACACACAATAACAATGCACTGCATTGGTTTTTCACTGACTGTGATAATGCATATAAATTAACATGTACACACTCGTGATCGGTTTTTTTCTTTGATGTTAACAAAAGAATAGCTAGATATTGTACATACTTGGGCTGAATATACTGCGTTGATGGATCTAGGGAGCTGATGCTGATCGTCTCAGTCTTTTATTATTTCTCGAAATAATGTCCTCATATTCTCGTAACTGGGATAAACAATGCCTTGTCTCTTATCTTATCCCTATTTTCTTTTTAAAAAATCTCCAGTTATTGCATTTAAATCCACTGCATATCTCAGCTGATTTCGCCACGTTTGTAGATGTAAACAACATTCCGTGTCATCGAGTGCAAGCGCTTGGCTGTTCAAGCCGAATGCAGCCAAATGGCACATAAAAAGATATTTTTTTAAAGACACGCTATTCTATGTAGGAGAATATCACTAATTATTATTTATTTAAACATGAAAATATTGCAAATGTTATAACCCAGCAGGCACACAACATTGAATAAACTTTGATTCAACGTTGTTTTTCTATGTTGATTCAATATTGATTTTATGTTAGATTTTGAAAATTTGTATCAACGTTGAGGTCTTAACATTGAATCAATATTGATAATCAACGTTGAGTATATGTTGAAAAACAGTTGATTCAACATTTATTCAATTATTTATTTTGGAAAGGGGATGTCATATAGTAATAATATATTGACTTAAAATTCCAACCGTTATTGCACGGTTGCTAAGATGCCTTCATAATTGTTGAAGGGATAGCGACCCTCTGGCAAGACAGATAACTTCCATCATATGTTTGATCTCATCAAATTAGTAATACTACTCACAATTTTCTTATTCAGTTTCCTGAGAACTTGATCAGATCTAACATATGATGGAAACATTACTTTCTATTTCTTTTGCAAATTTCTTTGTCATTGTTTTATTATTTTTAACAATAAAACATTTAAATCCAACATCAAATGCCTTATTAACTGAATAAGTTTTATCGTTTTAAGTACCATTTTAAAAATGGTTTAATATTTCAAGTACCTAATACATTATTTTAATTAGAATGACTTTTTTTCCACATGAAGAAATATTAAGAAGAAAGATAACTCCTCATCACAGATATCCATATACAACATTGTGATTTCTGACTTAGGAAACATCGCTCCATGATGTTTTCTAACATGATTTAAATAGGTATAATTATAGTAAGTATTATTTTCGTATGCACCTCATACAATATATTAATGTGGTGGTAATAAATCGTTACTCGTTCTGTTCTCAGTGTTCAATTTCTTCATTCCATGATCTACACATAAAAATCATTTCTGAGAAAATAAGCAGCGCTTTTTAGTTCAAAGTATTTTCCATGTGGTTCTAATGTTATTGTTGTTTATTTAAATCAATAATAAAAATTTCTAAGGTGAAATTTATAGCAGAGGGTCGGGACCCCTTAAATGAAAACATACGGATATCATTATTGGAAATAGAAATATGTATTGTAAACAGTAAGTGTTTAATTTCCTATCAGTAGTTAATTGTGTAGCCATTATTTTCACCAAAATAAATTCTATGAATTATGTTACAAAACCCAGCATTTACACACGTCTTGTATTTTCACATAAGGTCATGAAATAGTCCAGAACATGAAACCATTTCAAGGTAAGATGCAAATCCTATACGGTACAACTTTTGATGCACCAGATATGCATTTCGACAAATTATGTCTCTTCAATGATACTAGTACTCTAAATGCCGGAATGTTTTCTTTAAGAGTATTTATTTTTATTAAATCTTGGTGTTGAAGTCTGAAGATTGTGTTATGCTGTCTTTTTGAATATATTCCGGATGTCCTACTGCGTATGCTGTTAATTAGTACTTTGGCAAATTCGTACTGAATTCGCATCATTAATGAATGTGTAAAATTCCTATATTTACCATCCTTGTTAGTCATAAAAGTAAGTAATGATATACGGTAGTGCGACTTTGTTAAGTCCGACCTCGTTATGGTCCGACAGTGTAGTCCAAATTATATATCAGCGAATAGGTTGGCCCGCTAGCAAAAATCCCACGTTGAATCAATGTTGGCAATTCAACTCAACTTGAATTCAATGTTATTCAACGTTAAATTTTCAACGTTGAAAAGTAACGTTGAATCAATATTGTATCAATTTATCAACGTCTAAAAAACTTCAACTAATATTCAACGTTTAAAAAGTTGTGTGCCTGCTGGAAAATTTTGCAAATATCAGTAAATGTTTCTTTTAAAAGCCTTAAGTAAACAATAAAAAATTAAGAGAACAAATTTTAAACATTATTTGGTACCCCGATCCTTTAATTGACGGCGGAATTTCATTAAGATTATGGATTGCGTTGAAGATTACACCAGGCAATGGGCCAGATAAGGAAACGGAGTTTACACTTAGAAGGAAATGAATAAAATGTATCATATATATGTTATAATCGCACATCAAACGATTGAGGGACAGTGTGAAAAAGTTTGAAAACCATTATCTTTCTGTATTCAACAATCAAGAAGTGAAAATAGGATTCGATAGATTACATTATTGGTCGGTACTGGTTACTGCTGACAAAGCAGGTAACAACATTGTCCTTGTTTATAAGGCTCATTAAATAAATTGTATTTAAGTGGAATGCTACTATACGCATCGGATTAAGACCTTTTTACCTTACGCCAAATAGAAGTTGCGAAAAACTAAAAGAAAGTTTAGGAAATAAACCAGAAGTCTCTGTTAAGACTGTAGCTCTACTGGTCTTTACTTAAATCAAAGGAAGAGAAAAGTAGCAGTTGGACTTGAAACTTTACAACAGCAATAAATAGAATAATGATCCTTGCCACTATAAAATAAAAACCGATGCACAGAATTATGTATCTTAGTATAGTCTACTTGTGCGCCAAATTATATTGTAATCGGACCACAAATAGGGGGGAAATTTTTATTTTTAGTAACC